ACCAGGCGCAGAAGGCAAGTCGGTGAGGACAGTGGGAACAGATAGAAGGGGAGGTGGGGTTGATGGTGGGTTTGGGGAGGGGAGGGGAGTGGGGGGGGGAGGAAGGGAAACGGTAGTGACAGGAGAGAAGACGAGGGCCGATGACACGGAGCGAAAAAGAAGAGGACAGTGAGAGGGGAAAACGGGGGGACCGACTTACGAGCTAAAAAAAAACCGTGGACAATGGTGAAGGGTTTAGGGTAGAAAGGTAGACTCTTCCAGGGGCTAACACACCCCCACCACACACACATGCACACACCTGCACGCACGCGAGGTAGACTCGCACGTAGTGGAAGGAGGGCAGCAGCATGACGCACACAATGCCCTGGATCATCAAACCCACCCCGCCCTTCCCCGCCACCCCCCGCTTCCTTCTCCACTGCCCCACATGCCCTCCCCCCTCCCCACACACACCTGCACGCCCGCGAGGTAGACTTGCACGTAGTGGAAGGAGGGCAACAGCATGACGCGCACGGTGCTGCCATCGCGCACTTGCTCCACGATCGCCGCCAGTGTGAGCCCCTTGTTCTGCTCCAGCAGCGCGTGCGCGTCAAACCCAGTGTCCTGCCCTACTCCTGACGGCGGGAGATCGCGAATCGCCGCCTCTGCTGCTCCTGGCACCTGAAGGGGCAGCGCGCGTGTAGTGGGGAACATACGTTCTGAGACGCCTCAAAAGGCACATGCACAGGCAGTGAGTGCAGGGTACTGGCACAGGTTGGTTTTCGGAAGATAAGCCGAAAGTTGTAACGAAGGGAGTAGAAGATAAGCCGCACCAAACGAGAAGATATAAATCACGTCTCGCATTTTTATAGCTAGAATTTGGCTTGATCATATATACTCGAACAGGTTGCTCACTGATCCAGCTTTCGATCGCTATGGTTTTTCATTCAGCGTTCCAAGCTGTTTCCAACCGTCCAATGTTCCCGAACTACCTCACAGCGCCGGATCTTACCTTGGTCCAGATCCCGAGCTCCTTGGCCTTGAGCAGCTGCGCCGAATACGACTCATGCCAGCTTTTTAAGTCGCCACCGGAACTGTTTCCAGCCGTCCGATCTTCACCACCTCACTCTCAGCGTCGAATCTTACCTTGGTCCAGATCCCGAGTTCCTCCGCCTTGGCTGCTTCCTCCGCCTTGAGCAGCTGCTCCAGATACGGACTCACGTCCGTGCTGCTCCCCACTTGCGGCCGCACCTGCAGGACACGACAAGAATGTGCAATGATCGCATTCGGTGATCTAAGATTGCATTCAGTGTGCAATGCTCGCATTTGATGTGCTATGATGGCATTCAGTGTGCATTGGTTGCACTCGTAGCAACAGGATCACTAGGCCGGAGGCGATGAAACGGCGGCCGCGTGACACTATCGCAGTCTCACACAGCATCCGCACGCGATGTTCCCTCACCAGGCTGAAACGCGATCATCTAATCCTGACTTAAACTACGAAATGCAACGCCGGTACCGAAGCTCGTCAGGAATATACGCGCACCACCACCCACGGAAGCAAGCCCGACAGAGCATCCATTCTAGCGGATCCACAAAGAAGTCGATGCAAGAAAATCTGAATAATGTTACTCAAGAATAGAGATGTGATAAATTCTGAAAGATGCTGGAAACCCACCCGAGCCCAGAAGATGTTGGTGTCGCTCATGAACACATTGCCGAACTCACGGTGGGGATCCTGATGTCTAATCAAGTAAAACTTACGCGACCACCCAGCCGGCATGCACGATCTCTAGAACGTTGTTGCTGCCGTGTTTGGCGGGAATGGTGATCATGCTGGTTCTGAGTCAATTCAAACTCACCCGAGCCCAGCCGGCCTGCACGATCGCCAGCGCGATGTTGGTGTCGCCCATAAACACATTGCCGAACTCACGGTGGATGCTGGGAACCGCGTAGTCCACCTTAAACACCACTTCCTGAACAGGAAAAGAAAAGAGAAGAAAAGAAAAGAAACAGAATAGTAAGACGCGACAATGTCATACAAACAAGAGGAATGCGTCAACGTAGTGACTGGTGAAGGAGGACTAGGAAATCAGGAGCCCGCAGACGGGCGGTACAGAGTGCGGAACGGGGTGGTGGGAAACGTCGCAGGAAAGAAGACGGACCTGTCCGATGCACTTTTTGCGCAGAAACTCGCGGCTCTCCCATGCGAATGGCTCGTCACGACCATCCCTGCGAGCCTGCCAGATTGCGTGCCGGGAAGAACAATTCAATAACAATCATTGACGTCAGATTGCAAAGTCCACTTTGTGACCCCAAAGGAAGATGCAGAATCCAGATCCTGCAAGTTTCAAGCTCAGGAATAAGAGAAGTACAGCGTGAGAGGACGAGACACGCGTTGCATCGTAGATCTGCGTTGACTCTGCTGAAAACACGTGTGGGTACGCTAGAGACGCATGAGCTGGGCATAAAATGCTACATAGACTTCATTACTTCATCGGAGTTACATACACGTGCCGCTGCCGATTCATCTGGGTGACATCCTACCAATCTGGCGATCTGAAAATTTAGCACGTATGCAAATCCCACTCTAGGAAGGACAAACATGTTTCAACGCATTACAGGCGGATCTCGTCAATTTCATCTGCAGCACGAAATCTCGTACACCTAGATGCTTAAGCGAAATCATGTGATATCTCCCACCGCTGATTCCTTATGCTCTAGGAGCCGATATGTATGATAGACGACTCAGATCCTCGTGGTCTTGGAAATTTCCAAGTTCATATCACATTCATTTGCTCACCATCTTGGGAGCAATGAGCGATGCGAGCGTCAGGGTCTTTTCAGGCGGAGGACCCGACTTCACGTTTCCCATGATGACCAGGCAATCACCCGAGGTCACCGCCTTCACACGACCACGGAGCCATCCAGTCGCCATCTTGCTAAGTTAAAGAGAATCGAAAAAACAGCTAACGCGCTACGAAACTACAACTCAAAACAAATGTTAAGTGTTAACTAAGGATAAAAAGGAAAGCCGAGATTTGGAACCAGGAAGGTGAGAAAATGAACCACAAGTGAACTTCAAGGTGCTACTGGTCTGTTCAATCTGGATTTGAGCAGAACTGTGACTAAGAAATCCATTCCACACCTACGGTTTGGTTGCGTTTTAGTGAGGTTATGGTAATTAATGAGCGGTCGAATAAGAAACTAGAACATTTGGGTACGGTATGAGAGAGAAAGTACGTTTGGGCATGAACGAATCTGAATTTGGAAGGCGGTAGGTCGGTGTAACGGGGAGGTGGTAGAAACAGATTTCAAGGGGAGAGTAGACGTTCACGTCAATGTTTGTCAGATATCGTCGATTCTTCTCAAAACCAAGACGATCTGCACACTGATCTGGCAGTGCGAACGGATAATCGGACGGGAAATGGGAGCGCAGGTGAGCTATGAGCGTTGACGCGCTGAGCTGGAGCCCAGGCTCCCAAGGAGGAGGGAGATCGAAAGTGTTATAGTAACGGGGGGTAAAGCTTTGGTTTGTGTGAAGTCAGGCAAGGCAGATAGACCGTCATCGCTGGGAATGTATTCGTTACAAGACAAGGTTGATCAACCAAACTCCGTGAGATGTGGAGCTGGGTGGAGGTGGCTGCTGGAAGCCAGGCCAATGATCTTTGCCCCACAACTCGGCACAGCAGAACTGTTTGGACTTGGCTGTTGGCGCGAAATGACTGCCCTCGAAACTGTCGGCTGGAGTTTCCGAACCTGACGAATCTTATTATGGGAGGATTCGTTACTTGAAAAACAAATTTACTTGTACCAGAATCGCTTACTGTACTTACACTTCAGGTCTTCTCATCATCACTTCCCCCCACCACACCACACCACACCCCGTCCGTCCTCACAGGTGGCTGCTGAAACCCTAGCTTCAACTTCCACCAGTCTTGCTTCTTCTCCTAGGTTTTGTCAAGGAGTTTCACCAGTTAGCCTTTCTGCTCCCCGATCTCTTTCGTTCGAAGTCTAGTTTTTGTCCGTTTAGAAGTTGCGGACTTTCCGCTCGAGTTTTCTCGAGCGAGCTGCTTACGTTTATGGATCAAAACGATAAGAAGAGGCGCGTTGACAACGGCTCCGGGGCTTCCGAATTTGTTCTTAACGAGATGGAGATGAGGAAGATGCTGGAAATGCTGTCGAAGGAAGATCTTGTTTCTCTCCTCCTCGACGCGTGAGTTTCTTTCTTCTTTATGTCCTCTGTTTTATTAGTCACTTGTTAGAAGACTGGTGCTTAGGGGATACGATTTATTATCTTGATTCTCTTCCTGGTTTTGGAGTTGAAAAAAAAATCTTGATTTTTTTCCGTATGGTGCAGTGAGGTTGAGATGATTGAAGGTGCATGCATGGTTCGCCATTGATGATTGAAACGTATACGGTTATGCGTGTGCTTACGTCATGGTGATGTGTATGTGCTTACATGGTTGTTGTGTGTGCTTCTGCTTGTGTCTGTATTGATCTGTTATGGTGCATGTGGCGGATTACGCGGGACGCCGGCTGTCGATGGTTTACGATGAATGCTTGGATGACAACCATTGGATGACGATGATCGGATGGCGGTGCTTGGATGGCCATGATCGGATGACTATTACGCATGACGATGATTGGATGACGATAATCGGGCGGCGGTGTTTGGATGGCGATGATCGGATGGCTATTACGGATGACGATGGTTTGGAGTCGATGGCTCCATGGCGATGGCTTCATTGATACTGTTTGCGTGTCGCGTGTGTGGTGTTGACGGTTCGGCGTGTGCGTCTTGCCGTCTTTTGGACGGCTATCGATTTGTGTGATCCTCCTGGTCATGGTCGTAAGAGCGTGTCGTTCGCTTCATTTGGCGGGGCTGTCGCGTCTGTCTTCTTGTATCGGTGACGATTACATCGCGATGGTGCTGATTGACGATGATGGCGACTTGGTGACGGTTACTGACGAATGACGGCGACAGAGCTCTGAAGCACGAAACCGTCGCAGAGCAAGTGATGGCGATCGCCAGCACGAACGTCGCGAATCGGAAGCTTTTTGTGCGGGGTTTGGCGTGGGAGACATCATCAGAGACGCTTCTTGCTGTAAGCGCAGAAGGCTTGGCACGACTCGGAAGAGATGTTGCTGAGGCAGGCTCGAAATGCAAATGTAACAGCTAAGCAATGTGGTTTGTCATGGTTGTCGTCTATTATGAGTATGGCGTGTTTGGTCTTGTCGTCTTTCTCCCTTGTACATCTCCCAGCAGGCCTGTAAAAACCACGGCGAGATTGAGGAGCGAACCGTCATAACGTATCGGACGATATGATTGTCAAGGAGGCTAGAGATTGAATGATACAGCTAGTGACAAGAAGGATAGCGACGAGGGTACTTGGGCGTCTTGTGACTCTCGATCATGGTATTAACTGTTCTCCCCTGTTCTGGCATGTTTTCATTCCTCTCGTCTTTCTCCCTCAGGCCTTCGAGCAGTACGGCGAGATCGAGGAGGGCGCCGTGATCACGGATCGGACGACCGGTCGGTCGAGGGGCTTCGGCTTCGTTACCTTCAAGTCGTCGGAGTCCGCTTATATGGCTCTTCGCGAACCCACGAAAATGATCGACGTGAGTGTTGCTGAGTTACCTTCAAGTCGTCGGAGTCCGCTTGTATGGCTCTTCGCGAACCCACGAAAATGATCGACGTGAGTGCAGCTGAGTGACGTACACCATAAGTTTTTCTCCAAGAATCAAGCTTTCTTACCAGAGAAGCTTTGACGTAAGGGAAGTTGAATTCACGAAGATCTCGTTCCCCTTCTTCTCCGCACAGGGCCGTGCTGCCATGTGCAACCTCGCAGCTGCAGGCCCCACGTCCCACCCAACCGCCACCTCCGTCGCTGCCGCCTCCTCCCACGGCGGCGGTGGCGGAGACAGCGGGTACCAGTACCGGCCGAGCTACTCCAGCGGCGCGGACCTGGTGTATCGCAAGCTGTACGTGTGGGGGCTGCACTTCGACACGACGAACGAGACGTTCAAGGACTACTTCTCGCAGTACGGCGAGATTGAGGAGGGCGCCGTGGCGTTCGACCGCGAGACACACAAGTCCAGGTGAGACCGTGAGATTGAGTGGGAGAAAAGGGTTAGATTTGGGAAAACAGGCTGCTTGGGGGGCTTGAGTGTTCCGCCAGTGCCAGATGTATAAGTCCAGGCGTGGCTAAGGGGGGTGTGAGAGAGAGGGGACCTGGTGTATCGGAAGCTGTACGTGTGGGGGCTGCATTTCGACACGACGAACGAGACGTTCAAGGACTACTTCTCGCAGTACGGGGAGATTGAGGAAGGCTCCGTGGCGTTCGACCGCGAGACACACAAGTCCAGGTGAGACTGCGTGTGAGAGAAGGCTTGAGGTGGTACGGTTAGACTGTTCCGCCACTTCTAGACGCACAAATCCAGATGGGTGAGACGCTGAAACAAGACTAACTGCATGGGGTGGTAGAGAGAGGAAAAGGGGCATGGTGTCAAATAGAAACCATCAAATTGCTTCGAAGTCGAAGGGAGAGTGTGTGGGAATGGGGATGGATGCACGCCCATCTTGTTCGCGTCGAACTCGTTCAACTCTCCTTTGTGTGTGCATGTGCGTTTTCACTGTTTTCCATTCCCTTCTTTCAGAGGCTTTGGCTTTGTGACCTACCGGTCAGCAGATGATGCGAGGAAAGCTCTTGTAGAACCGACCAAGTTCATTGATGTGAGTACTGCCAGCTGTGCTAGCCGCTTGATATGCTTCCTTGTATTGAGCACCTTAAGGGTCTAAAAAGCGCTTGACTTCGGTCTGTTTATGTGGCGCTTCAAGAGTCAACAGAGACGAACGCCGTTGTCCCAAGCACAGTCCTGGCTTAAACTGCGGTACTCACATTCCCGTCTGTCTCCCCTGTTCCATCCCTGTCGTTCTTCCTCCGCCTCTCAGGGTCGCAAGGTGCAAGTGAAATACGCCCTGGATGGTACCAAGGAGAAGAACGCGTTTGCCCAAGCACAAGCCCAGCTGCAGCAGCAGCAGCAGCTAGCAGCCGCACTCACCGGCGTGGCCCTCCAAAACCCCCTCGCCTTCTCCCCCTACGCTTTCCCTGGCGGCCTCCCAGCCTCCGCCTTCGGTTCGGCCGGGCTGCAAGGCATGGGCTTCCCGACAGCAGCAGCTGGTGCGGTAGGGGGGGCAGCAGCAGGGGGTCAGTCGTCAGGGCAACAGAACCAGGCTGCGGCAGCAGCGGCGGCAGCGCAGCAGTATGTGTCTTCTCTGGGGGCGGCTGCATCTGGGGCGGGTGCTGCTGGGGGTGCAGCAGGCACGGGAGGGGTGCAGGTGTCGTATGGGTTTGGGTCGGTGGCGCCTGGGGGCCTTGGAACTACGTTCTTCACTCAGTAGGCGTATCAGCTAAGGGGCATAATGCACAGGAGCTTGGAGTAGGGGAGCATGGAGCAGTGTGTAGCAGCAGTGGGTACAGTGAGAAGAGGGGTGGAGGTGAACGATGAAGGGGTTCAAGTGGGCTCACCTGAGTGTGGTGCACGCACGACTCATTCAACCTGTGGTCACCCGATATGTTTTGGGGAAGTTATATAGGCAGTCACAAACAAGGCGATTGTAACACGTTTGGTTGCATGCGAATCACAAACGGTCACAGTACAGTGCGGATCTATCACGGGTGATCATAGCGCTATCACGGATAGTCACACGCTGCCTCGGAACCCTATCACGTTTGGTCACTCAATGAAACACACCTTTCGAAGTTGAAATTCAATATGCGACTGTTGAGATTCAGGGTAACTCGGAATTGTTTTGGCTCGAACCCCTGTAACCTCCGAAATCAGCTCACGACTAGCCCCGCGAACTCATGAAAACAGACCCAAGTTACTTTTGACTGTTCCCAACATTGTTACCACCGAAATATACTAGCGACCAAGGCGTGAACTCGTTTATGTCGTCTTCCCAAAAACCTCGTCCAGCCTTGCCCCGTTTGACTGTTCGGGTCTCCCAATTTTGATTGCTTGTTCCTCGCACATGATTATCGCATGATATCTCAAACAAATAATCCCTGGCATGTTTTTCGGGAAGCGTCAACCCTAAACACCATGCGACAAGGTGTTTAGGGTTGATGCCTCCCGAAGGAAATCCCATCCGACTAGGTTTTAGATTTTGTTTGGGAAGTACAAAAGAAACTCTTTAAATTTCACCAGTCAAAATTTATATTTGTAGGAATATTATGCAACGATCGAACAGTGATCACCGCGCCACGACTTAACTTTTCAGTGGTTCAACTTCTTGGCGCTCGTTTCATTGTGTGACGAAACGTGATAATACTGTAGTTTGGCAAGGGGCGCCGCCCCATGGGTCCTCTCACACCACGGGTGCGGGACCTTGTGCTCCACGCCCTCCCATAGGGCAATTGTTTGCCATATGGCCGGGCTGGCCGCAACGAAAACACACTCCCTTGAAGCGGGGCTCGTGGCAGCCCGCGGGCGGCATGCCTTTGCTTTTCGTTTCTCCGTCTCGAGGGGGAAGGCGGCCTCCGCGGGCGAAACCGGTGCGTGCACGCTTGAGGGCCGCCACGTCGGCTACCGCGAGCTTGTAAGAGCGGGACTTGAGCACACTCTTGGCTTGGTACAGCTGGAACCGATCCGCCGCCTCGAAGCCGGCCTCATCCGCCACCAAGAGCACCTCGAAACGTTTGTTGATCAACGTTTCGACTTGCGCCATGTTGGAGAGCGCGCCCTCGACGTCGCCGTGTTGGAGCTTGAACTCGACGTGCCTCAGGTGAGCTTGAATTGCAGAGAACACCTCCGCCTGGTCACGCACTCCCTTGCGCATGAAGGTAGTAGCTGCGGGTGTAGGGTTGAGGGAGGGGAGGGGGGGTGCGGGTGCGAGAATGCGACGGCGAGCAAGGTTGTCGGGGGCCTCACCGTCTTCATTTTCCGAGTCGTCGCTGTCGTCGGGGATACGGGCTTGGGTTGGTGCCGGAGCCGGGGGGGGAGCAGGAGCAGTGTTGTTGGTGCGAGCGACCTTGGTGGAGCGGGGGGGCGCGACAGGTTCCTTCTGCTTTTCAATTTTAGCGGAAGTAGAAATTTCTTCAGCCGATGTAGCTGTAGTCGATGGCGCGTGCTGCTGCAATAACGAGAGCAGCACCTGCAGCTGCTGCGTAGTCAAAGGTGGGGGGGGGGGGGGGGGGGGGGGGGGGGGGCGTTGACCGGCGTGATGTCAGCGGTGCCGCGCGCTGGCGTTTCTGGGTCGTGGGCCCGGGTGGACCTGCGTCAGCGGCGGTCGTCTTCTTCTGCGTGGCACGCGCGTGCCTGCCAGGCACGCGCTCTTCAGCAGCAGCCACGCGCGACTGTACAACAGTCGCGCGTTCCTCAGGAGGGGTCTGAAGGGTGCCTCCGAGCAGGAGGTCGACCGCCGAAGGTCCCTCGCTTGAAATTTCTTCGGCGGGGCGTTTTGCGCGACGATCCGTTGTCCCGGCCGGAGTCGAGGTTTCCGCCGCGTTACCGGGGCTTGAAATATTCGAGTTGTCGCGGTTAAGTGCCGGGTTGACCGGAGCCATCGTTGCGAGGTTGCGCTTAAGGATGTCGTTAAGGAGCGTTGACGGGGCCGTGAAGCGCGGAAGCGACTGAGTCTTCGCCAGTGTGGACGAGAACGAAATTAGAACTACAATTTTGGAAAAGGAAACGTGGGTGGGGACGAATGTCCCCACGTCCCTCTTTTGTAGGCAAAAGAGGGTGAGTAGCGCTTCGGCGCTACCTTTGCTGTGTTGGCCACGTACCCTTTTTCACAATACAATTTTTTAGAAAGTGTTACATTTCATTACACTTTCAAACATTATCATACTTGTTCAGCAAGTTACGGTATTGTTATGCTTTTATTCGTTTCACCTTGTTACCGTATTATCTTTTGTATAATACACTTGCTGTTGCTCCTGTTGGCTTGTAATGTTGAACATGCTCGTCTGTTCATTTCCTAGTAAAACAAGAGTGGAAAACTACCAGGATTGGAGCTTCCAATTCTCACATGACGTTTTTGTTCCTCGACGATCTGACTCCTCAGGGAGAGCGCTGCTACGGTGACGCGTGTCTCAACAAGATGACTTCTCTGGGAGAGCACTGCTATAGTGACGTGTGTCTCAACAATATGACTTCTCAGGGAGAGCACTGCTATGGTGACTTGTTTCTCAACAAGATGACTTCTCAAGGAGAGCAGTGCTATGGTGACGTGTGTCTCAACAAGATGACTTCTCAACGAGAGCACTGCTATGTCAAAATGTTCTAGTGCTTACATTGTACAGGCTGTAGTGGGGTAGCCCATAAGGGGTACAACTCAATTAGGGGTAGTACTTGTACCCAACTTTCTGTTTGTTGCGAATATGTTTGTAGGCTTTTATTATTAAGTGCACTGTTCGAAGTGTGCTTACAGAGGCTCGCCATATCGAAGAGTTTGACCCTGGTGTCGAGCCAACGGGGCGCAACCGTGCACAGCGGTTGCGACCCATGTGGCAGTTCAAGAGTCGAGATTCTGCGGGAGGCAGCGTGAACAGTATGCGAAACAGCCCTGCTGAGCGCGGCAGAATACCGCGCCCTTGCCGAAGCTGAACACTCGTGCCAGCGCAACTGTAACTGGCAACTGAAACGTTACAGCCCAACTGTCATACAGTTGCGCCTTGGTAACTGCCTGCCTGCTATGTTTCCTATATAACTGAATGTATTGCATTGTTCCTACTACACAATTCTCATCCTTGTGTCCGGCCTACCCTCGGCCGCCGCTTTGGCACCAAGTTACAAGCTAGGAGAGCTACCTCTGAGTGACCATAGCCCCGCCGTAGGGACGTCGTTAATTCCTAGAGTATTTCTGCTACTCTAGCGACCTCTTAATTTCAACACTTTTCAATGGATTCATTCTCGTTCAGTATTCTGACATGGTTTCAGAGCAGGTCCTGTTATAGGACCGATTTTTTAGGGCCCACCACAGAGCGCTGCCCCACTAGTTGCGCTGCCCTGCTGCCCTGCCCTACCTGTCGCGCCGCCCTGCTGGCAGCCGTGCCGCCCTTAGCAGCCCGCGCGCCGCCCTTTGCAGCCCGTCGCGCCGCCCTTTTGCATCCCGCGCGCCACCTTTTGCAGCCCGCGCACCGCCCTGCTGCTGGCCGCCCTGCCTTGCCCGCGCACCGCCCTGCTGGCCGTCGCGCCGCCTTTTGCAGCCCGCGCGCCACCTTGCAGCCCGCTCGCCGCCCCTTGCAGCCCGCGCGCCGCCCTTTGCACCCGTGCGCCGCCCGGCTGCTGCCCGCCCTGCTACGCGCAGCCCTGCTGGCTGGCGCCCTCCTGCCCGCGCCGCCCTGCTGCTGCCCGCCCTGCTGGCCGACGCCCTGCTGCCCACGCGCCGCCCTGCTGGCCGCCGCACCGCCCTGCCCTAGCCGTGCGCCGCCCCGCCCTGCCCTGCGCGCTTCCCTAGTGCTCGCGCGCCGCCCTGCCTGCGTGCTGCCCTTCTGGTCGCGCGCCACCCTGCTCTGCCCGCTATGGCTTCTCTTAGTGTACTCACCTTCGATCATGAGGGCCGTCCGATCCAGTTCGATACGTGGCTCGACGACTTACAGCTGTACCTACTGAGCGATTCTAGAGACAGCGTTTCGTTGTTTGACCACATATCTGGAGCCTCTCTCGCCCCTCCCACCACAGCTGACAGTGCGACTCGCTCACAATGGCTTACCCGTGACGCTGCTGCTCGCTTAGCTGTTCGCAACCACCTGCCGTTAGCCGAACGTGCTCACTTTGGCCAGCACAAGACTGCTAAAGCCCTGTACGACGCTGTAGTCGCTCGTTACTCCTCCCCTGCCACTGCTGCTCTAGGCCGCCTTATACTGCCCTACCTGTTTCCCGAGCGGTCCGCCTTTGCCACAATCGAGGACCTCGTTACCCACCTCCGCACTAGCGACGCTCGCTACCGCGCTGCCCTCCCAGCAGAGTTCCTTGACAGGAACCCGCCCCCGATGTACATCACTCTCTACTTCATAGTCACCCGCCTCCCTGACTCTCTTCGCGTAGTCAGGGACCACTTTCTCGCACTTGACCCCACAGACCTCACTGTCGACCTGCTCGAGCAGCACCTCCTTGCAGCTGAGACTAGCGTAGTTGCTGTAGGTGCTGCTCGTGGCACTCCTCGCACACCCTTCTTTGAGGGGTGTTCCCCCTCCCCCCTTGCCCCCTCCTACGCTTCTGCTGCTACTGTTGACATCCTTGGTGCTGAGGATGTCGGGGCTGCTTTAGCTCTTAGTGGGAAGCGCCGCACCAGCAAGGGCAAGGGTGGCAAGAGTGGTGGCGGCGGCAGCGGGGGTGGTGGTGGTGGTGGTGGTGGTGGCAGTGGAGGCGGTGGAGGTGGCGGAGGTGGTGGCA